TCTATGCTCTCTTCAAAGCCAGACTCCAATCGTTTTTTTTTTTTTTATTGAAAAATGCATGTGTTTGAGAATTACTAAGCATTCGACTGAATAAATGAGACTTGGATGTGAAGAAGTTTGCAAATGGATGTTTTGAAATAAATGTGCTCTTGTTAAACCTGGTCCCCAACCAGTCTGTAGCCCCTTTTACACTGCTCCTTCAAGGCGGGAATTTCACATCGTTATTCTGCCTCGCCATTTTGTATAAAAGGTACGATCGTGGAACTGGGGGCAGAGTTGTCTCACCTTGAGGCCAACAGCAGAGGTATTAACAGCGCTGACATGACATCAGCATAAAAGGGACAGCTGGCAGGACAGGATTATGGGCAGGATGGGTGTGCCGCTGTGGCACATTTAAAAAGCAGCTGAAAGCAGTTAGCGGCTAACTCAAGGACGAAGAACAGAGGCTGAAAATGTTCACAAATTGAAAAACAATGAGCTCCTTATCCTCCGAGCAGAGGACAAGATCAGCCACCACATAACAGGGACAGTAAATAATTGTCAGTGCCATATTTTGCCATTGTTATAGTTCATAAAGCGCTGTTAACATGTATGTTGTATGTCACACTAGAGCACTAGAGGCAGACACTGTTGTGTTACACATCACACCTGCCAGGCCTCTTTTGCTTCTTCTTCTTATGCTGTCGAAAATCACACACTGGCACAGCATGATGTCACCCTTGTTTGATTCTTTGTAAAAAGCAAAGGCGGCATAAGGGAGGGACTTTGTAGCAGCAATCTCTGTGTAGAAAAGGGCTAATAAATCAATATGTACAATCTTACAGTATCCTACACACACTAGACCTTTTGTTACGGCATCAACACCACCACAGGGGACAGCAATGGAATTAAGACCAAGGACTTTGTTGTTACTTTTTTGACGAGGTCTGATATTTTTTTTATAATATATTTGACTGTTAAACCACACTGTAAACATAATCTAATACATGTAAAAGCCCTGCATTGAAGAATTTGTGGGAAAAAAAATCAAAAAGGGATCACTATGCAAAGTGACTCCATATTATAATGTTGTATTATTATTTCTGATGTATTTATAGGTACTAAAGCAGAATGAGTGTTGCAGCTGGTGGAGGTGGAGCAAATTATAGGGTTGTAGATTACTCTGTAGCATTGCATCGTGTTTTACAAGCTGATCACGTATTTTGTAAGTAAAATATTTGTATCTACAAAGCAAGCGTTGTAGTTCCCATCAAGGACATTGGGCTCATGTCCTCTGTGCTTTTCTTGCTTTCTGTTCAAATTTCTGTGGGGTGTATTCAAGAAAGAAGTGCTTGAGTAAATGCACTTATTTACTTTCCACTACAAGCGGTGCCTGAACTGTTTATCATCGTTTCGCACAGACATAAAAATCTGTTTCAGTGAGCAGGGTGGTCTGTGTGTTCTTCTGTTTACAGAGATGTACCATATGTCACGTGGAAATACCCTATAGCAAGACATTAAACTCCTGCTTGTTGCTGTAATTGAGTTATCGCAGCTGTACATCGGAGTATATACAATGTTGAAAGTGCACAGAAAGAAAGAACCTCTGCACACACCTCAAATCTTACCACACGACTGTGGATATAAAGTTGATTGCTTGATTTTTTTTTTACAAGTCTTCAGTACACCAACGAGCCACCAGGGGGAGAACACAAGCTGCAAAAAAACATGTTACTGAGAATCATTTCTGTAACTGATGATCTTTTTTGACAAGTGAAGTGCAGAGTGCCTTTCGTCTTTTCAATTGGTTCCTTGCTTGTAAAAGTCTATTTCTACATGATGGAAGATTCCCAGATAAAGTAATGACTAGAAGTAATGGGTGGTTTCAAATTTAAAGGCCCAGCATGGCGACGGCTCAGTGGTTGTCATCTCTCAGCAACAAGGTTGTGGGTGTGAATCTCTAGACTTCCTGTTTGGAGTTTCTTCCTGTGTGTTTGTACGCCCAGTCTAAAAACATGCAGATGAGTTGAACTGGAACCTCTAAATTGCCCATTTGTTTTTCCATGACAACTCAACCAAAAGACTCGGCTTCAGGCTTCAGCAGCTGATCTTGAACAGGTCTGAAGAAAAAGGAGGGATGCATGTGTCTAACCATAAGTGTTAAGGCTGCCTGTCCTTCGATCTCTCCTAGCATTGTTGTTGACCATCGATGCTTCTCGCCTCTTTCATTTCATCTCACCTCAACAAAAAATGAGCAGCACTTTAAAAATGCACCTTTTAATTTTCAGAGGTTGCAGGGAATGAATGCGGCGCTTTCTGCCTGTCTGATTCAGACTTTAGATGACCTGCTTGAGTAGCACATTAGCTGTATGCAATTTACCCAGTTTCAAAGGTTCTGTGTTGTATATAGTCTGCAAAAATCCTTTTTGGGTCAATTTTCTGCAGATGAAAGCAACGCGTATAATGGTTTTATTACACCGTACAACCAACCAGGAGAAAGACAACCTGTCTGAAATTACTGCTTCCTGTGAATTTCACGCAGTCAGACTCTGCAAAGTGCCTCAATTATTTGCTTTAGCAGAGATGTTAGGAATATTAAAAGCTTTAAAATGTGATGGAAAATCTGATTGATGAGCTTCATGAAAGACTTCTTGACATGATATGATTCCTTCAATCTGAAATTTTAAAACCACCACAGTAGTTTTTATTTAAAATGTTCACTAAAAATATATTTATTTCTGATGACAGAAGAAGGTTGAGGCTGTCTAGTGATTAAATGAAGCCTGAGAGCAATGAGTGAGAATGAAAAGCTTGAGTGAGATTTCAAATTGAAAATATAGTGTTGAAAGTTACTTTGTACTCCCAGCCCCAACATAAATTTCTACATGCAGTATGTTAATTCCAAAGCATGAAATTGAAACGATCTCAACATGTGCAAGTGAGCGGCGTTAAATAATTAAGCTGCTGGAGACATGCTCCATATTAATCCTGAAAGAGGACATCCAGGTGATAAATTCCTATGTATTTTGGTTGTTTTGTGAGTTTTCTTTATCAAAGCTATGTGTGCGCGCCTGTGAGTTCAAAGAGACAAGGTGTGAAGAGAACTGAGGCAAGCAGATTCATCATGAACTCCTCACGACCTCCCAGCTCTTTGCAAGTCGGTTCTATAGAGAAGCTCCCACCCATTGATATCAGCACTTCATGGCTTAAATAATTCAGCAGAAAATCACGGCGCTACCTGATTCTCTGCAGATACTGTACTCCTGGCATTTGATGATGACGAGAAACAGCAGAGTTGCACATCCACCAGGTAATGTGGAGATTAATTAGGAGGAAAGGCCAAACAAAAAGCAGGTAATGCATGTCATGATTATACTTTGTTTCCCAATTAAACTCTTTGTTAAACAAGTTAGCAGTGTTATACTGATGAGACAAGGTTACAGTGTACAGCTGCACTGCAAAAACCTACAGGAATAAAAAATAAATAGCCCGACATTAAGCTCCTCATTCATATCAGATGCCTTTCTAAACTAATGATGTGTTTTAATGTAATGCATGTTGGAAAAGGCTCAAAGGCATCTGAGGCAGAGCTCCTGAAAAATATTTCACACTATGATCAGCTTTGGGCTTTTTGCTTGCAACGGATAATATTAGCTTCAAAATGATGGGGTTTTTTTTACAGGACGGCATTCAAGTTAAAGACAGTAGAGTAATACACAGTGTCCTCCCTGTACAGCATCACTGTGTCAGAAGTTGTGGGAAAAATGGGTAACATCAATAACCCCCCTTCCCCACCATCTCCACCCGACTATGAGCATGCTTTTAACAGTGTTTCTTCCCTCCCACAACACGCTTCAGAGATCCACTGTCCCCTGGGATGAAACTCATCTTTTGTGGACATGAAACACGAGCTGTGGAGAAAATATCAAAGAGCATATCTGAATCTGAGAGCCGAGAGAGGGGGAAATCACCGGCTTTGTGAGCCAAATGTGAACACGAGTACGCCCCTAATGGACTGCAAGTGACACCGCTGCTTTGGAGCAGGAACACGTTGCCATGCGTGGAGACACTGGTAGGAGCAGATATATGCAGACTAGCTGATGACGGTCCTTGCTGTTGTTTTCCCCCCGTTATTGTATGGAGGGATGGTATATTGATGTAATGTTAGAAAAAAATGCCTCATTTTGAGAAAAGAGCAACTGCATTCTCAAGACTCAACAAAAACTCTTAATAGCATCTGGAAAGAAAACGCCGGAACTACAAATAAAGAAGCACATTGAAGACAAAGTACCAACCAGTGCTTCAAACCTGCATCGATTAAGCTGGAAATAGGGTTTACAAATTAGTTTAGACTGCGTGTTTACTGTCCCATATCTCACCTGTTATTTAGAATGACAAGATTTTAGTTGTTGCACCTTTATACATTTTCCCAGCTTACATTCAGCAGCTGCAATCTGCTGCTATCTTTGGACACACAGCAGGCGTTCAACCTGGATCTTACACCACAGTGTATGCAATATAGAGAAGAGTTACAGTACATTAATATAACATGCAGAGATAATTGTCACTAATTATCATTGCTTTGATCCAGGTCCAGATGCAGATGTTAAAAATCTACAGGTTTTCTATCATAAAAGTAAGTTTAGAGGCAGTTCTTCCTTCAGTTATTTTCAGATCATTATGTAATACAGACAGATGTTCGGGTAAAAATATATGACAGAGCTCAAAAGTCCTCTTATGAAGGATTTAGTGTTCTCAACAGCATTTCAGTCGTCATTCATCAAGCAGAGCTGGCTGAGGTGTCACCTGAGATGCGGCTGAAAGCTCTGCATCAATAGTAAGGGGACCTTTGATCTTAGATCCTGTATACTGTTTCAAAAGACCAGGAATGAATATATATGCACATATTAGCAAATATTCTTTACCCCAAATATCCAAAATAACAATTTCCCAAGCAGTTCTGCAAATCAAACAACTTCGACTTTTATTCAATCCATGTAAGGACATCAGAGATGCATTTTGAAACAAACAAGAACATGGTATTAATCCAGTGCAGTTAAGATATGACTTTTTTTTCAACTGTCAGCTGGTTCATAAATCTTTCACCTCCGTGTGAGATAAGGCCTCAACTGACTCCTCAGACTGTAGTGACTCTCATGACCAGCTCTCGTGTGCTATTGCTGGGTTGGCTGCGGGCCTCCGGCTGCCTGAGATGGCTGAGGAGGTGGAGGATGTTGTAGGGACAGTGTTGGTCTGGCACTGTGCTGCCGCTGTTGGGGTCCACATGTGTTCCCAGTCCTCCCGCAGCCGTCACCATGGTTGTAGAGGTGGAGCCGTCGGCTGTGGAGGCTACCACCATGAGCGAGGAGGTGGAGGTGGACACCCCTACCCCAGTCTGGTAGACCGGGCTGGGCTGAGACAGAGTCCTGTCCACAGTGGCATTCTTCAGGTCATCACTGTCCATAGACTTATCATAGTTCAGGACTTTCCACTGCTGGTTCACGGCCTGCCAGCGGTGGAAGATGCGAAACACAGAAGGTCCCTCGTGGACAATTAGTGCTGTGGAAATCAGAGGATCAATTAGACAATGTCACTGTCTGGCAGTAGTGTTAATGACACCACAAAGTGATATATATCTCTGCAGTGGTGGATTCAGTGTGTTAAAGCCTGCAGGAAGTATTAGCCGAGGGAGCAGCAGAACAAAACAACTCATCTTTAAAGTATCGCACCATAACCCCGAGATAAGATCTTTATTTCTTAGAAAAATTGTAGACGTGGCACAACTTATGACACAGCAGTACTCACCACTTCTGGATTTAGGTTACCAAGAGTGATGCATCTGTTCTCTGCGGTTGTTCGATAACATCTTATCACAGTTTAGAATTGCTTATTGATTCATGTTCATTGAACTCAGTATCTGGAAAATTGAAATCAATCTGTAACAAGAGATGCTTGGACCCTAAGATTGTACAGCTTTTTTTCCATTTTAAAGTCATATAGAGGGAAATTCTTTATGAATGGGATGTTTTTGTAGCCTGCCTAACCTGAGCTGATTGCCTCCTGTACCATCGTCACCACTACGGCCTGTACACACAACTGTTTCATCATACAGCTCACAGATTTTAATGGTAACGTACAACATCGTCCTTTGTTGTAGGAAGTCACCGCTCTCTGCTGTTGCACTCTGATAAAAACGGACGCTTAATAATTCCCAACCTCTCCTGTATTTACAGAGTTTATTGATGAAACCCTGTCTCGCCTCTTCAGCCCTGTTCCTCTCCCACTCCAACTTTGCGGATAAGTGAAAGTCAGGTCTTTGCTCTTTAATGTCCGCCAGGTGACAAGTTAATCTCTGTAAAGTGCAGAGTTAATGACTCCACAGTCAATCCTCGCCACCAAACCGGAGACAATCAATCTCCTCTTCCTCTTATCCCGCTGTCTGCTGCAGTGGCAGTTAGAGTTTTCTTAATGTGAGATGCCATCACACAGTCATCCAAAACACGCGGGCCCTCGGGCTCCAGAGGAGGACGGCAGGCTTAAAGGGGCTGCTGCTAGCTTGGATTTGGACACCCACATGAATCCAGAAGATGGTTGAAAATGTTTCGATGCACCTTTTTATTCTTGTGTTATATCTACGCAAAGTTTGGCTGCAAAAACCGAATGCTCATTGTTCTAAAATTGAATTGATGTTTAGTTTATTGAGTAAGCTTTGACTAAGCATTTTATCTTTAACATAGTAAAAGTAATATATCAAATAGTGCACAAAATATTAATAAAAGTGCCCAAATAATCATGTGTGCAATACAAATGCAAGCCAGTGTAACATGACAAGACTGCACACATTCATATTGATATGAAATAGCAGCATAGATTTGTTATATTGATTGTCAATAGTGTAAATGGTTCCTGCCACGGCTGGCGGGCATGATTATTGACTCTACTGGGAACCCTGACATTATGTTTGCTCAGTCTGTGGAATGCATAATGTACCAAACTGGACAAACTGAATATCATTCTCAGTCTTAAAAAGCACACATTAATCCCAAGAGGAATTATGAGGATCAAATTATATCAAACAAGTAATAAACCCAATGTAAATTCTAGCACCTCACCGATGCAGACGATATCCATAAAGCCGTACATTCCGTAGCAGATCTGGAAAAGCAGGTCTTGTCGCTGCCAGCGGGCTGACGGGCTGAAAGACGACCACACCAGCCAGGAGATGCTCGCCATCAGGAACAGGGAGCCCAAGATGGCTGCTGCTATCTGCACTTTCTCTATCACTGTCAAGGAGATGGCCTGCCACTGCAGGAAGACACAGACCACAGTACAGCTTAGCTCTTTGTATTCCATTCTCATTTCTTTTTTAACTTCAGTGAATACTTGGAAAAACACCGGGGACAAAAAAAGAGAACAAGTGCATTAAGAGTAAGTACCAACAAAGGAAAGATACAATCAGTGGGTACAATCACAGATTTAAAAGCATAACGCAAAAACATTCACACCACAAGTTAATCAGGCAGATAATCAGAAAACTTTTCCTCTAACACAGACGGTGAGTAGGTATATATATCAATGCAAAACATTTTAATTATTTCTATCTTTTGTTTTGTTTAGCATTTGCACATAAAGATCTGGTTACAACAACTAAACTTAAGGGAACGCTACAGCTGAATATGAAGCACAAAATTACAAAGCAGCCTCTCACGCATCAGTGCTGCCTAGAAAAACCTCCAAAAAAAATCCATGTCCACTCACCCGCCTATCTTATTACTGAAGTCTCAAACTGAGAGAGAAGTTACTTCTGCAATCTTTCTATTCCAGAGATCAGAGGGAAAGCCTTGTTTAATTCAAAACTTTCATTTTCAGTACTCGGTTTATGATCAGAGCAAAAACAGAGCTGCAGTTGAGACAGTGTGATTCCTGAAAATGGTGTTTTGTCCCAAATAAATTTTGATATGAAAACCAAAAATGCATCCAAATGAGTCCTGGAGGAGAAGGGCCTGGGGCTCTCTACCCCTATGCTCATAAACCACCAACAATTCTCCTGATGGCAAAACAGACATTTTGTTCTCAGTTTCACCGGACTGTTAACTTGCCAGAAACCTCTATTTCCAAGAACCGACAATAACTTGCTTCTGATCACCACACTGTAAATATTGTCACACACAGTAATAAAATCTCGCCTTCTCATCCAGCTCTCCTCCTTTTTAAACGACCACAGGACCGCTGCCCTTCACACCCACAGCTCACCTGTAATGGGTTCTTGGTGCTGATGGCAATGACCTGATATTTGTAGTAGCAGAGTTCACAGGCCCAGGAGCCTCTCTCGCTGATCCATTTGATGAGGCAGGGATGGTGGGTGCAGCGTACTGACCCACTGCACCGGCATGGGCTCAGGAGCTCCCCCTGTGGGAGACAGTTAATCAATACCAGCAACCCAGGACAAGAGATTTTCATTATTTATTTCCTTTCAATGCATATGTTTCATGTTTTTACTGTCAGTGGATATCATGTCTGGACAGTGTCTGCCCTGATGCATTCTGGGTTAAATTCTTTCAGCAGAAGCATACAGAAAGCAATGAAATGCGAATATCACAACAAGAAAATTGCTGCAATTTTCTGCCTCGTAATACTGGACTCAACCTCAAAAGTGGCCTAAGTAGTGATTTGGGTTTCAGAAGAAATATCTCCCTATAGCAACCATTGATCAGCTGATAGTCCTTTGTTTTGTCATCGCATTTACTCCCTGCAGATAACCCTTTAAACTACAGGTTACACTATACATACATTTATATTTCTTTGCAGTTCTTTGTGGCTGGCTTATTGATTTTCTGAGAGCTTTGTATCCACAGTCAGGCACACACACACACACACACACACACACACACACACACACACACACACAGCACTGCACATTATAGCACTGTCATATTATAGCAGAACACCAGTTCAGGTGTGAAATGAAAGCTTTGCCTCACACCAAGTTGACAGGCAAAATGCTTGATTACTAATACAGTTGAAATGTGGAGGATTAGTCACCGGAGCTTTTATCAAAGAGCAAACCCCAACAACGCTGCAAAATACAGTGTTAAATGTACACCGTTGCTGCAGCTGTCACATATACATAAATATTCTTTTGTAGATGTAAATATGGTAACTTCAGACTAAATATAAATATAGAAAAAAATACATCATCTTCTCTTTTACTCCTCCTTCCTTCACTTTCTGTCCTCAGTGCCTCCTTTGCTCCCGGAACCTGAGCTTTATAAAAGGTAAAATGTAAAATCTTGTGTCTGACTGTCCTTCATTTGTATTCATAAGTACATTTTGAACAATGTCCAATATTTGGTGCAGTTATTGTGAAAGATACGGTCACTTGTCACACCAGTCATCTGAAATGACATTTCTAAACTCAGTATTTTAGGATGTTAGTACAATTGAAGGCATTTCAGGTCCTCCACATTGGCCTGGTGACAGCTACATGTGATTGATTTCACTGAAAGGAGATTAACTAGTGTGGTTAACCTCTCAGCTGCAGTAGCCTACACCTTAAAGAGGTTTAAGTAGCTGAAAGTAGGGATGGGAATTGAAGAGCGGGTCCAAACTGTCCAATCCATCTGAATCATTTGCCTGCAAGTTTATCAATTTCTTTTATTGATACTGGCATGTTTTTCTAATAGTTGCACATTGCAAACAATGACATTAAACTCAGTTAAATTAAAGGAATGCCATGTTATTCATCTGATATGTAATAGTGCATACTGTGTATGCTCCTTGGCTGGGCCAGATGTGCAATTAAGTCTATACTGCTGCTCGTATTACACTGCATGTGGATTTATATTATTACTGCATTAATATTCTCTTACCCATCGTGTATTTTATGTGTCTCACTGTTGTTGGTTATTGTTTATTGTCTTTTGCTGTTTTATGTGTATTAGCCCAGAAATCACACAATTTCGTTGTACTGCTGTGCAATGACAATAAAGGCATCAGATTGAATTGAATTGAAAATTTGATGCTCTACGTATGAGTTAGTAGAAATTAGAAGATATGCTTTATTGATCCCTGAGGGGAAATTCAATTTTTTTCACTGTTGTCATATACACACAGGCCCGAAACACACACAC